GACTACAGGTCCTCCTACCTGAGAAGGCAGGGGCTTTGGGGGAGGATGCCCATGCGACCCAACAAGCTTGGGAGGAGTTTGGCTGGAGCATGGCGGAGAACCAATGCCGCCTCCAACAATTTCGGCAACTGCAAGACTTTCTTAGGGCCTACCTGGCCATGATGTGAGTGATTACACATGATGTCAAATATTGTTCTTGGTACAACTGGTTCTTGGTGCAATTGGTAATTGGTACAACTAGAAGGTTGTGCCTGTTTTGTCCTGAGTAATGTACTGTATTACAGCTGCATGTATATTTTTGTGTTCATGAATGCTTATTAGGTTTATTGTAATAACCAATGTACCTACTGAGCTCTCTCTCTCCCCCCCCCTCCCTCTCTCTCTCTCACTCTCTCTATCTTTCTTTCTCTCTCACTCTCTCTCCGATGTCTCCCCTACAGCTCATGGACAGAGGACACGCGGACTTGCATTTTCTCAGAGGCTTCAGCCCAGCAGTGGTTACTGGCAGAATCAAGTGTTCCATCGGAGCTGGATCTGAGGATAGAGCAGAAGTTTGACGAGTTTGACAAGCTCGCTGCTGCTGGGCAGAAGCTTATCAAGGAGCGACATCACTTGGCAGATATTGTGAGTTATTTTACAACAGGGGTCACAAACGTATTTTGCCCTGGGGGCCACAGCCTTTGAAAAGACTGTGTTTAATTCAATTATTTATAATTTCACGTGTTTTAAAAATGGAACTAGTCTAGTTGGACAAACCCCAATGACCCAACCATTAGAAGAGACTGAAAATATCTGGCAACTGTTTCTACAGATAAAGGAGAGGACTGAGGAACTTCAAAGCATGCTGGGATGGATCCTGGTGTACTGGAGAGCACAGAAAGACCAGCTGGGTCAGGAGAAGTCAAGGGATTCAAGAACAAGTGATGCCCCTCAGGCAGACGCAACCAGATTTCCACAAGGTCAACCCCAGGTAGGATAACCCCCTAAAAAAAAATGGAATAATTAATAAATACATTTTTAAAAGGATATCCCTGCTTTCACGCCAATACGATTGATTCGTTATAACAAATTGTTTAAGAACAACACCACTGTTCTCTATTAGAATTAGACCCATTTAAAGCACTGAACTACATTGCTGTGGTGAAGCTACTGTAATGATGTGTATAGAAGACCAAGTGCTCTCTGACGATATTCTACCTGCCCACATATTGGCAAAATATGTTCCTAAGGATCAAGGCTTATTGCAAAAAAAACTAAAAACAATGCAAAAATACTAGAAATAGGAGTTATTGAACAAAATCTTTGGTTTCCTTTGCAGAATCTCTGCTCTCTGGCAGAACACAACAAGTCCTCGGAAAGCCTGTCCACAAAGCACAGGCTGATGGTGGCGAGCAGGTTTGAAGGACCACAAAAATCCCAACCGGGGATAGGTCACCATGGAGAAAACTTTGCCAAGCCGGTAAACGTCACACCACACGTCCCCTTGGCTGTGGCAGTCAACTTGCCCAGCATTATCCTTGAAGAGCCCTGTGCTACTGTCACCCCACTGGGCAGCAGCATCAACCTCATCCTCAGTTTTGACCAACAGCCACCAGGGAGCAGTCTGCAGCAGCGGCCAGTAGAGCCAAGGGAGGCAGTTGAACCTGTGCATAGGGTGAGTACAGATCACCACATATTAATATCTACATACCACAAGACAACATCAACCAAATTAAAGGGAGGACGCAAATTGGACAGTCAGATTTGAATTCTGTTGCTGTTGATGTTTGTAAGCAGTAAGTTGACCCAACGTGTATGATGATGTCATACTGCCAAGTCTACCTATAAGGCACAAATACACTACATGGCCAAATGTATGTGGACATCCCTTCAAATTAGTGTATACAATCGAGCACATAGCCATGCGATCTCCATAGACAAACATTGGCAGTAGAATGACCTGTACTGAAGAGCTCAGTGACTTTCAACGTGGCACCGTCATAGGATGCCACCTTTCCAACAAGTCAGTTCATAAAATGTCTGCTCTGCTAGAGCTGCCCCGGTCAACTGTAAGTGGAAACGTCTAAGAGCAACAACGTCTCAGCTGCGAAGTGGTAGGCCACACAAGCTAAAGCGCGTGCTGAAGCGCGTATCGCATAAAAATCGTCTGTCCTCGATTGCAACACTCACTACCGAGTTCCAAACTGCCTCTGGAAGCAACATCAGAACAAGAACTGTTAGCCGAGCAGCCGCACACAAGCCTAAGATCACCATGCGCATGTCAGTGTAAAGCTCGCCACCATTGGACTCTGGAACAGTGGAAATGCATTCTCTGGAGGGATGAATCACGTTTCACCATCAGGTAGTCTGACAAACTAATCTGGGTTTGGCAGATGCCAGGAGAACGCTACCTGCCCAAATGCATAGTGCCAACTGTAAAGTTTGGTGGATGAGGAATGATGGTCTGGGGCTGTTTATCATGGTTCGGGCTAGACGCCCGAGTGAAGGGAAATCTTAACGCTACAGCATACAATGACATTCTACACGATTCTGTGCTTCCAACTTTGTGGCAACAGTTTGGGGAAGGCCCTTTCCAGTTTTAGCATGACAATGTCCCCGTGCACAAAGTCCATACAGAAATGGTTTGTCGAGATCGGTGTGGAAGAACTTGACTGGCCTGCACAGAGCCCTGAACTCAACCTCATCGAACACCTTAGGGATGAATTGGAACGCCGACTGCGAGCTAGGCCTAATCGCCCAACGTCAGTGCCCGCCCTCACTAATGCTCTTGTGGCTGAATGGAAGCAAGTCCCTGCAGAATTGTTCCAACGTCTAGTGGGAAGCCTTCCCAGAAGAGTGGAGGCTGTTATAGCAGCAAAAGGGGGACCAACTCCATATTAATGCCCATGCTTTTGGAAGGAGAAGTTCGACGAGCAGGTGTCCACATACTTTTGGCCATCAAGGCTGAAAAACCCATCCCCAGAGCTAATAACACAAAACATCTAGTAGAACCTCAAGACATTCATGCACATTCTATTGTGTTTATCTTAAAAAGGTTTAGATTGGGACTGGGATAGGGAGAGCTGATCCTAATGGCTTAGAGCAGCTATTAGTAAAGGAATGTGCTGTAAGATTTATGTAAGGTCCCACATGCCAGAAGTGGTGTTTCATCAACTTGGCTCACACTCAGTGGATTAGTCATGGTCAAGCCATTGCCACTGCAGCTGGGTATGAGACCACCTCATACCCATGTGATTTTGATAAGGTTTGCAGAATGTGTGATCCCATTTTGAAGGCTTGCAGCTGAAGTGATGTCTTAAAATAACGTAGTATTTTCCTACAGAATCAACTGCATATTTCATAAAGTTTGCACAAGTATCAGAAATTGGTTCTTCGTAAATGTATCCAAGATGTCTTTGATCATGGTTGCATAAGCATTTAACTTCAATGATCATGAAAGTCACATTTTGCTGAGTTTTGTATTTGATTTCTAATTCTCTTCATCTTTTCCAGGTGAGCACCTATCTGCAAGTCACAGACGGAAGTCCTGTTTTTGAAGACGTGGCATCGCCTCATATCACAGACATGAGCCACGTGTCAACCACCTTTTCCACAAGCTCAACCAACGCTGCTTTCATACCCCAAGTCAGCACTGTCTTGCTGCCCCACCTTACCCAGAACCAGTTCCACCTCTACCTTAAACCTGAAGGGACCGATAAAGAGGAGGAAGAATATGACAAACAGGCACACTGTGACTGGCATTGTCGGAATGCCCAAGCCGCAGGGGGTTCCTACCGTGCCCACCGGTGCCACACGCAGAGCCTACACCTGGCCACTGGAGGATAAGAAGGAATGCCATGCCACACAAGGGAGTCCAGTTAATACAGAACTCCAACTGTATATCAAAAATAATTCTGTGGTGAGTGTCATGGATGGCAACTCTTCAGGCACGTCAAGCGTTCCTACCGTTCCTACCATCCAGGGGCATTTCTTGCATGGACTCAATGAGATGACCATTGGGCAACACAAGAGCCACTATGGCGTTATCCCTCTCGGGTCGATGTTGAGTTTTGACCTGCCCAAGGATTGGGGGCAAATCTCACAGATAAGTGCAAAAGACCTCACAACAGAGAAAGTGCCTTTTGAAGCCAATGGGGACCATGCCAGTCCACCTTTGAATCTGTACAGACCATCAGGCTCAAACGCACTCGGTCAGACTCTTGCATCGTCCAAAGTAATTGGACAGACTTTCGCCCTCAGTCCAGAGAAGGAAAGGCATCTTGAAACTGATGGGGAACATGACAGTCTGAATGGTTCACCTTCGAATCTGTGTAGACCGTCAGGCTCAAATACACTCAGTCTAACTCAGAAAGTGATTGGGCAGAATTTCACCCTCAGTCCAGAGGAGGAAAGTATCTGCGAAACAGGGGACTTTGCTGGTCAAAATGGTTCACCTTTGAATCTATACAAATTGGTAGACTCAAATAGACTCAGTCAGATTCACAAAGTGATTGGACATACTTTCGCCCTCAGTCCAAAAGAGGAAAGGAGCTGCGAAACAGCTAGGCAGGACTCACAGAAGGTCAGCTCAGAGTCTGTTTCTCTTTTGGTTCAGTGTATCTCGCTACCTGAGAAAGACGACGTCTATTATGACCTAAGAAGCGCCACAAGGAGTCCTGCTCTTGCTGCAGGACATGAGAACATTTTCTCCAGCACTGTTGGCATCCACGATGAGGATAAGGTCGAGATTTCCATTCCAGTGGCCATTTTGGACTCTAACAAGCAACGCACTGAACCAAACTGCAGCAGCTCGATGATGTATGACCACACCCGCACTGAACTGTCACAGAACCACAAGCACAACTGTTTAAGTGTTCACACCAAGATTCAAGACCTCAATAACCACATATACTTCCCTTCTGCAAAGAGGCAATTCACTTTCCAAAGTGAACTTCGAGCCGTAGAGATCAAGGGCTTGTCTACTGTGTCTGAAGACTCCACATGGATGGGTGTGCGCAGGTCTGGACGAGTCATTGTGTGCTCTGAGGACAACTGTTGCGTTTGCTCCGACAGCCCTGCACCAATGATGGTATTGGGAAAAGAAACTTCACCCAAACGAGAACCAGATCATATTCATCCTGATCATTGGCAGTTTGAGGAGGAGGAAGAGGAACTGGAGGATATTTGGAATAGCACAGACCAGGAAAGAGCGCCTTGAATTACTGTGGTCCAAAAACATGAGGTACGTAGATCAACTAAAGTGTCCATCTTATATTTGTATATATCTGCACTCAAAACACCCACACGGGGACACACACACACACACAATGCATCTGCAAAAGTGTAATATACATACATTCCTGCATCAATATTTCTACACACCAACCAACTGTGATTTCTGAGGTGGCCCTTTTCCACATATGCAAGTTTGAGGTGTGAGTTGGGTATATACAATGGCTTATGAATCAATAGCACCATCTGATGGATACTCAAAGAAGCAACAAAAATGAAATTGACAAGCATTTGCACCCAGAAATATTAGGGATTGGGTAGGTCTGATGCATGCATTGATGAGCTAAAAGCATGCAGTTTGAACAGTTCTGTTATGAAATAACAAATCAGTTTCTCTTGATGAGTTTCATGATCACTAATTCTCATGAAATATGCATACATTTGTACATCACAAAACCATTTTGACCATATGCTGATAGTCAATTGGTTTCATTTTGATGATCAAGAATTCTCATGAAATACACACACACACACACACACACACTGCAAAGTGTAGCCTAAGTAAATGAGTAAAAGTGATTTAGATTTCAGACTTTTAGATTTCTATTCTAAATCAAGTTCTACATGGACACCGCATTAGGAAAAGCTTGAAGTGTATGTCTGTTTTAACACAGAGAACACCTTTGATACAGCCTGAACATTCTGAGTGAACCATTGTGTGAAATAGATTGAACTGGTTTTGCCTTGAACAACTCAATTTTAATCTTCAACGTATTCTCATGATGTTCCTTCTCCTCCCACCAGGTGGTGCCCATGCCACACTGCCGCACAGACCAGTGACCAACCAGCCAGAGATTAAAGTGGCCCTAAACATAAAGAGTAGGAGTGCTGATCTAGGATCAGTTTGCCTTTTAGATCATAATGAATACGATTATATGGACTGATCCTAGATCAGCACTCCTGCTCTGAGATGCTTTGTGGGATACGGACACAGATCTAGGATCAGCTTATTCTCCCCCTTTTCCAACCTTGACTCCAAATTTACTTTTACTTCATACGTCCTCAGTGACATTAGAGGACTATCGTGTGCAAGCAGTCTGCAAGAATCTCACTACAGGAGACTGAAAACATCTATACAAGACCAAAGGAGTCATGAATGTATTGTGATGCCACATTTTACATAAGGATTCATGTCTTCTTCTTTTTGTTCTGTGTAATGCTTTGATGGGAATATATCTTCAATAAGAGGAATTAGCTAGAATTCCCCATATGAAACTCTTACCTGTGATTTTGACTAGGTATACTCATCCCTTATTTTACCAGGTAAGTTGACTGAGAGCACATTCTCATTTACAGCAACAACCTGGGGAATAGTTACAGGGGAGAGGAGTGGGGATGAATGAGCCAATTGGAAGCTGTGGATGATTAGGTGGCAATGATGGTATGAGGGCCAGATTGGGAATTTAGTCAGGACAACCCTACTCTCACGATAAGTGCCATGGGATCTTTAGTGACCACAGAGAGTCAGGAAACCCGTTTAACGTCCCATCCCAAAGACTGATTTGCACTCAATTATTGATGGAGGGCCGAAGAACTACAGTCTTCTCTGTGACTTTTTCATTGGTTACTGGCTGTTACCATGACTTGACTGTCTGATACAACATAAAACAATATAACATTACTGTATGAAGCAGACACATGATGTAGGGTCACAAATAGTGCAATACACTGAACTGAATGGACTTACCCCATTGAATACCATACAAGATTATCTAAATGTATTTGTGTTGTCTCTTTAATGCCACTTGGTGTCTTATTTCTTTCAACTGTGTATGAATTGCATGCAGGGCACATAAAGAAAGAACTGCCATTGCTACCTATTTTCATCTGCTGTACAGTAGACTATCATTTATCATTTTCATCACTTACTTAAAGAGAAAATAAATAAAGCAAAGATCATTTGCAGTCTCTGTTCATTTTGAATTGAAGTGGTTTGTCAGTTCATTAGTTGTAATAGAGAAGACCTCTTTCAGGTTATCATGAAGAAGTTCAACCTCTCATACTCTTTCAATGAATTTGAAGGCTTAACATCCTAGTTTTAGATGGCAAGGCTTCAGAGATATTGTAGTCCAATTCGTGGCTCTGCAAACTTTCAGTTGGGGCCAGTAATGGACCATTTAAGTGCATTCATTTAGATAGGCTACTCTATGTAGACACAATGTGGGCCATTACGCAATTAATTGTCGATGGAAAGATCATGTGTCACTACTATTATTTATGCTCATGTTTTCATTACTGTATGCTCATTCTTCCTGCATTATTTGTGTCTGTGTTTCAGTAATTGCAAGTGATGATTGACATCTCAGAGAACAAACGAGCAATAACGTCACGGTAGTTCAGCCTATCCCTAAACAAATTACCGCATGGGAGAGGCGGGACTTCTGCCGATGCTGCCAGCGCGACTCAACACAAAGTAGTTGGATCAAACAGACACGGCTAGGCCTATTGATGCAGTTCAAGAATTGTAGGGACGGGGCTTTGTGTAGTTGCAATTGCAAAAAGTCACTGATAAACACAGTTTATTCTTCAACTAGGATGTTAAGCCTTCAAATAATCGTTTTGGATAAAATGGGATTGGCGTTATCTAGATCTCGTCCGGAGGTAAGATATTTTTCATTGAGAGGTGTTGCTTTTTTGTTGTTGAAGTAATTCGATTAAAGTCTACAAATGTATAAGAATTACACGTTGGCATGAGTTGATTTGAAAGCTGTTCAAATTGTATCATAACCGAATGCAACTTTAAAAGTCGGCCTGACCATCTAAATATGGTGTCGAATGGTAAAAACAACAGCGATATCTGAAAAGGTTCTGCGATTCTATTGTGCTGCGAGTTCGCTCTCAACAGCGGGCTCTCTAGCCTAAGTTACGTTGTAACTTTTAATTAGAAACAAAAGCACCGTTAATAAATTGTAAACTGGACTGATATTTTGTAGCCAGAATTGATTCGATACGGCTTCGTGGTTATTCTTTGAATAACAGGGATCGCGCAACTTCAACTTCTTCACTTTGAGTCAAATTGTGATTGTTTGCAAACTCAATGCACGTTCTGTTGGAATCTCAAAGGAAAGAAGTAAAAACAACAGTGGGTGCCTGGAGAAGTGGGTATACAAAAATGTTGTCAAAATTATGAAAACATTTTTTGTGAAATATTATATGAAAACCGTGACATGCACTCTAAATGACCTAAAATGATAAATCACATATTGGTCTTTCACTCAGGACAACCCAAGCTGTAGTCTACTGTGCATGTAGGCTTAAGGCGTTCGCATACTTCCCATTTGGAACAGTTCGTGCATATATTATGACGACATTTTGTGACGTTTTGGTTCGTTTTGGTTTTAGTCAAGTTATTTTTTTCAGCTGAAGTCGGTAGCCGAAGATAACGCCCCTTCGTTGGTGATTGGTCAACAGTAGGGATTCTTCATTGAAGTGTTTGTTGTCATTCAAGGAGAGACGAATCGTTTTCATGCAAATTTTTTGACTCCACCAAACTTCTTAGTTAGATGTAAAATTGCCCCACTATGATCTCCTCGACAAAAAAGTAAAGATTAATTACAGTTTTCTTGAGTTATCTTAGATTAATTCAGACTATTTTGACGAAGTGTATCTGGCTACAGCGTCTCAAGATGGACAAACAGTACTATTGCAGCTTTTTTCTTGTTTTTCAAGCGAAGGTCTTATAAGGGAGTATGCAAGCACCCTCATTTGGTTCGCCTAGCCGAAGCATGCAGAAGGCTTAAAGGCGTCTGCATGCTTCCCATCCAAAATATTCGGAACAGTTCGTGCATATATTATGACGACATTTTGTGATGTTTTGGTCTTCGGCAAGGGTTTCTTAGGCTGTTCGTGCACACACACAAAAATCTAGAGGCATGCCGAATTTCGGTTGCCAAAGTCTACGCCCCTTCGTCGGTCATTGGTCAACAGTAGGGATTCTTAAATTAAGTGTTTGTTGTCATTCAACGATAGACGACTCGTTTTCATGCACAATTTATCACTTGAGAAATACTGGGACTAAGATCTCCTCAGCCAAAAAATGTCAAAATGAATGACAGATTTCTTGAGTTATGTAATTCATTCTGACTATTTGTGGAAGTGTATGGCTACTGGCTATCTCGCCTCAAGATGGACAAACAGTACTATTGCCGCTTTATTCTCGTTTTTCAAGCGAAGGTCTTAAGGGAGTATGAGAGTGCACTCGTTCGGCTAGGTGCCAGCCGAACTGAAGCATGCGGAAGCCTTAATTACATTAGTTCCATTACATTACACAAGTCATTGGACAATGGCGTCTTCTGTACGGGGGAGTTTTGTTAAGAGCCCCGACCCTCGTTCTGAATATTAACACGCATTGCTTGTGGTACGGTTTTGGAAGCATAACGACCTTATCTTCAATATCAGCGAGAAACGTAAAATTGATACACACCTTTTTATAGGGTTAGGGTTAGTGTTCCCATACGGCCATATCTCCATGTTACAGCATGTTTACGGAAGACAGAGGGACCACTGTGCTATTTAGCTATCTAGCATGCTCTGAACACCTGTGTGTAACGGAAGACCGCCAGAAACATCACTGAAAAATACTGCAACGGTGATAAAGCTGGTTAAAACAGAGCATATTTTGCAGTTGTGAAATTATTTTGTTGGGATATGAAAGTAAAGCTGTTTATGTTTCTAGAACCGTATTGCAATTGAGAATCAATTCATGTTTAGATGGAGCATTTGGCTGTTTTGGCTGCCAGAGCCATTCTACCTCTGAAAATAACATAAGGTCCTTTGACCTTTAGGAGTAATGGTAACGTTAGGATCCTTAAGAGTACCTCTTGGGCTAGATAATAGTAGGCCTACTATTGAAACAGATAAATGAGTCTATGAACTGAGTCAAAAATTCACAGGTTCAGATTATCCCAATTTTTTTCAGGTTTT